GAGGGGAACAATTGTGCGCCGCTGCCGAATTCTGGGCAAAGCAGAATCGCCCGCAGCCGACCCCCTACCCCAGCCGCCCGCCACCGTGGCATGAAGAAGCGAGGTCGAGGACAAGAGTCGCCGCCGCTATCAAATTCCGGGCCCGGCGGAACCCACTGGCTGCACTTTGGAGCCTCCGGCATAGTGAAAAGAAGGGTCGAAGAAAACAAATTTTTGTACTACCCCGAGGTCCGATCGCCATGCCGCCCTCAGATCATTGTTCGCCGTTTACGGGCAGTTTGTCGGTGTTGCCCACATCCGAGGCCCGCGGTTCTGTGGGTTCGTGAGGAGGATAACGATGCTTTCCGTGTCTGGTATGGGCCAAAACTCGAAGTTGGGCCTATTCATGTACTGGGCCACGGAGCTCAGCGATGGTCGAGAAAGCTGGCTGAAGACATCACTCGATCTCGCGGAGCTCAGCGGTGGTCGAGAAAGCCCACTGAAGACATCGCTCGGGCTCGCGGAGCTCAGCGGTGGTCGAGAAAGCATGCTGAAGACATTGCTCGGGCTCGCGGAGCTCAGCGGTGGTCGAGAAAGCCTGCTGAAGACATCGCTCGAGCTCGCGGAGCTCAGCGGTGGTCGAGATAGGGCGAAAGCCTATTAAAGACATCGCTCGAGCTCGCGAAACTCAACGGTGGTTGAGAAAGCCTGCTGAAGACATCGCTCGAGCTCGCGGAGCTCAGCGGTGGTCGAGAAAGCCCGCTGAAGACATCGCTCGGGCTCGCGGAGCTCAGCGGTGGTCGAGAAAGCATGTTGAAGACATCGCTCGAGCTCACGGAGCTCAGCGGTGGTCAAGAAAGCCTGTTGTAGACATCGCTCGAGCTCACGGAGCTTAGCGGTGGTCGAGAAAGCCTATTGAAGACGGTTCTCAAGCTCGCGGAGCTCGACAATGGCCAAATTTAGGGCAAAATCCTGTTGGAGCCGTTATTCGAGCTCGTGTAGCTCGGTGGAGGTCGAGATAGGGCGAAAGCCTATAGAAGACGTCGCTCGAGCTCGCGGAGCTCGGTGTTGTCCAATTCAAACGATTACCGAGCCTATCTTAGCTTGGCATGAAGTTAAACTCGTCGCTGCATTAGGGCAGGATAGTCGTTGTGTTTATAAGCTCGGCAGTATCGTTGTGCTCGACAATATCATTGTGCTCGGAAAGTTGGTGTATATCTACACAGTTATTAAGGGACATCAGAATTCTGATTTATGGAGGAAACTCATTATCTTGGGGGAGTAAGTCAGTAAATCCCTTCTAAATAAGGGACTAGGTTCATTTTTTAATCCTAAGCTCTTAAGATTACTGAAATACACGATAAAACATTTGCTGACTTGTCGTCGGAGTGTCTACGTCGGGGCCCGCCCCGACGCTTTGCAGGTCGATCCGGTTCTTGAAGACGAAGGCGATCGAGATGTCCGAACTCTCATGCAATCGAGATGAGGCAGTTCAACCGGCAATCTCGATGAGTCGATTATTTTGGCTCATCAAATTGGCGTCGTATGTGGAAAATTAAATATTCCAAGTTCAACCGAAACAAATCAAATTTGTATCCATATCTCCGTTTTTTGCACCTCGCGGAGAAGAAAACAAAAATTGAAAATCAAAGGAGAAGAAAAGAACCGGCTGAGGGGAACAATTGTGCGCCGCTGCCGAATTCCGGGCAAAGCAGAATCGCCCGCAACCGACCCCCTACCCCAGCTGCCCGCCACCGTGGCATGAAGAAGCGGTGTTCGAGAAAGCCTATTGAAGACGGTTCTCAAGCTCGCGGAGCTCGACAATGGCCAAATTTAGGGCAAAATCCTGTTGGAGCCGTTATTCGAGCTCGTGTAGCTCGGTGGAGGTCGAGATAGGGCGAAAGCCTATAGAAGACGTCGCTCGAGCTCGCGGAGCTCGGTGTTGTCCAATTCAAACGATTACCGAGCCTATCCTAGCTTGGCATGAAGTTAAACTCGTCGCTGCATTAGGGCAGGATAGTCGTTGTGTTTATAAGCTCGGCAGTATCGTTGTGCTCGACAATATCATTGTGCTTATAAGCTCACCAGTATCGTTGTGTTTATAAAATCGGCAGCGGATCCTTTAATTTGCAGCTAGATCAAGGGTAATTAGCCCATCGTAGCGGTGTCCGAGCTCGTAGAGCTCGGGAGGCCGTAGATATGGGAGTCATTGTTACAACTCGAGCAAATAGTGCGAATGTCTAATGTTTCAACGTGGCAGAACATCGAGCGTGTTACTTGAGGGCCACAAAGGAAATGAAAGTGTAAAGTTAGCCCAAGAGCCACAGTTGCATGCAGATGGCTGCAGAACTCCGACGTGGTAGACTGTGGGGGCTAGACGAGCCCAGGACCCCGACGTTGTAGTCCTACGATATACACTTGGGCGAGACATGATTGGTCTACTCTTAGACAAGTCTTATATTCATAAGCTTGTCTAGAGTGGGGGGGCTAGATGATGTAGCACGAAGAATAACTCGGTGGACCGGCCTGAGCAGTTAGCTCGGATAGGCCTGTCCAAAGAAGCTTAGAGCTAATTTATGTGATACACGATATTAGTTACAGATATTCATGAAAGTTGGTGTATATCTACACAGTTATTGAGGGACATCAGAATTCTCATCTATGGAGGAAACTCATTATCTTGGGGAGTAAGTCATTAAATCCCTTATAAATAAGGGACCAAGTTCATTTTTTAATCCTAAGCTCTTAAGATTACTGAAATACACGATAAAACTTTTGCTGACTTGTCGTCGGAGTGTCTACGCCGAGGCCCGCCCCGGCGCTTTGCAGGTTGATCCGGTTCTTGAAGGCGAAGGCGATCGAGATGTCCGAACTCTCACGCAATCGAGATGAGGCGGTTCGACCGGCAATCTCGGTGAGTCGATTATTTTGGCTCATCAATATGATAGTTTTGAGAAGTTACACATTAATTAAAAATATTTTTTTGTCAATAATAATCTCATTTAATGAAGACATAGATGAATGTTTTGAGAAAAAATGAAGAATTAATATGGAAAGACGTAATGTATTTATTTGTTAAATGAGAGTAATAATGAAACAATATGTACAAAAGATCCAAAACGACATTTATTTGGTTAATATTTGATAAAGTTAAAATGACAATAAAATAGGCTTTGTTTATTGGTCTTATTCCATAATAACATCGATTTAGTAAAAAAAAATCTCATAAAATCGGTGAAGCAAAAAATTATACGTAAAGTCTATCTATACACCTTGAAATTGAACAAATTACATCTCATATAGTGGGAAAGTCTTACCCTTGGACTAAAGGCGTGGAACTTTCTACTGAAAAAAAGGCAAATTCAAGATTCCTTATCTAATTCCTTCTTATCTTATATAAAGAGTCATACTATTTATTAAAATTAGTAACAAACAAATAGGTCAGCATTAAATGTAACTCATAAATAGTAGTTTTATTATTTTTCTTATTTTTTTCTTTAAAAATGATACAATTTAATTTATAAATACGCTCTAATATAATCATACAATTTAATTAAATTAATAATTAAATATTGAATGGTGAACAAGAATAAGTAAAACTGTTATTTTCTCTTATATCAAGAGATAAATTTATATGCTAAAATAAAGTTTTTATTAGTATAAATGTTTTAGTGAGATAATATATTAATTATTTTACAAGCTAGCCCTAACGTGCTCATATTTAGTGTTCTGGCTAAAAAGATAATGTTGGTTAAAGATTTAGAAAAACCTTATAACCCAATTATTTTTAGACTTAATGTTGATTAAAAGAGGTAGAAAATAGATAAACTCTATTACTTGTTAGACTTAAACGGACAAGACTGTGAGAATAACTCATTTAATATTTCTGTCAGATGTGAAAAAAAGTTTATAACCCTATTGTTTTTTAGACGTAACGTTGATAAAATATGAAGAAAATAGATAATAAGCCTAAATATTAACCCTATTACTTTTTAGACTTAAACGGACAAGGCTGTGAAAATAGAAGTTTATAATCCTATTGTTTTTTAGACTTAACGTTGATAAAATATGTAGAAAATAGATAATAACCATATTACTTTTTATACTTAAACGAACAAGGCTGTGAAAATAACTCATTTAATATCTATGTCCCGTGCATCGCACGGGGTACGTACTAGTTTGATTAGTTTTTAAGCTTCATGTATTTAAATAAGCTCCGTTTGGTAGGACGAATTTACTTAAAAAGCTCGAGCTTATTTGATAAACTTCATTAAGTCTATGTTTGGTAAAACTAGCTGATAAACTAGCTGATAGCTGATAAGCTAGCTTATAGCTTATATGTAATTTTCGAGCTTATAGCTTATAGCTTATGACTTATAGCTGAAAAACTAGCTTATATAATAAAAGTGTTTGGTAAAATTAACTGATAAACTAGCTGGAATAAAAAATTCAACTAGCTTATTAGAAAAGCTACCTAAACAAGCTTATCAAATAAGCTCGTCCTACCAAACAGGCTTATTTGAATACATGAAGCTTATAAGCTAACCAAATAAGCTATAAGCTAGCTTATTTGGTTTACCAAACATAGCCTAAGTAATTTTTCAAATAAGTTAGTTGAATTTTTTATTCCAACTAGTTTATCATCTAATTTTGCCAAACACTTTTATAATATAAGCTATAAGCTAACAAATTGCTGATGAGCTATAAGATATCTTATCAACTATCAGCTAGTTTTACCAAACATAACTTTAATCTAAGTCAATTATTTGAGATATATCTATAATCATAAATAAATAAATAAATAAGTTGTGCTGTGTGTGTGTAATTGTAAACAAACAAAGTTATGTTCTTGCGCATAAGTTTCGGGTTTTTTGTGAAATCTAAACAAGCAAGCTACACGGAGAAACCGAGGCGCGAAGGAATTTTATATGCTGCTATACAAATTACAACCAACACTCTTTATATATTTATTTCCATCGAAAAATTCTGCATCTTAATTTTGCCCTTGAAATTACAATCCCATGTCAAAGCCCGACGAGTCCAATCCGGATAATGTGACGGCGGTAGCAGAGGTAGGAGATTTGGAAAATCAGACGACGGAGGTGGCCGGCGGCGGAGTATCCAACATCGTGCGGCGGTGGCAGAGGGAAGATCTTCTCAAGAGGAGCTCCTTGGCTCTACGCTGCATCGGCTTGGTTTTCTCGCTGCTGGCTTTCGTTATAATGGTCACCAACAAGCATGGCGATTGGAGAGATTTCGATAAATATGAAGAATACAGGTAATGATTATAAATCTTTTTCGATTTATTAATTTCTTGTATTGTTGTTTAATTTCTTTTCTTTTTTTTTTGTAGGTATGTGGTTGCCATAGCAATTTTGTCGACGCTGTACACCGGATTTCAAGCTTTCCGACAGATTTACGAACTTTCCACCGGTAGAGAGGTGGTTTCCCTGCCGTATGTTGGGATGATTGATTTTTTCGGCGATCAGGTTCTTATTTGCTCAATTTAATTCAGTGCTGGAAATGGATTGTTAATTATTGCAGATATTATCTTTTGAATTGTTGTAAATTCAATGATGAAACTTATTATGTTGATTTTTATTTATTTATGGGGTGTTGCAGATTGTGGCATACTTGCTGATATCAGCTGCTTCATCAGCAGTACCTCTGACGAACAGAATGCGAGAAGGTGCGGATAACATATTTACGGATGCATCAGCTTCGGCAATAAGCATGGCATTTTTCGCGTTCCTCTCATTGGGTTTGTCCGCTCTTATTTCCGGATACAAACTCGCGCATCAAACGCACATTTGATCAGCTCCCGTGTCAAAAAATGGTTACCCATTGTTTTCTCTCTGTTTTAACTTTATCATCCGTAAATGTGCATTCTTTTGCTTCTGTGATTGTGTATGTTGGTAAATGAATGTGTTAGTTGTGAAGTAAAGGACCTACCAAAAAGAGAATTTTTCCAGACAGTAAAAATTTTACTTGTGAATGAAATGAATTCTTTCTCTGCCCATCTCTATTTTATTCGTTCAAGACCTGTTTTGTTTGGGGTGTGTATAGCTACTTGAATCAAATTCTGAGTGAAATTTATGTGTACTTATTACATGATGGGCGTTAAGAGTCAAATGTAAGAGTTTATGTCTACTCAAAACATAGAAGAAACCTCTTTTGGTGTTAAAAGCCGATGATAGACAACCAAATTATGGAAATGAGAGGGAATATCTCTTAAAATCAACAGAGTAAGAAATGGTTAGAAAAGAATACAACTGAATATATCCTCCCTAACACACTTTTATTCCTTTTTCTTCCTATGAATTGAGCCACTTTCTAACCTCCAACGGCTCCAAAAACAATGAAAATATGTTCCCTATGAACTCCTATTGTAATTTCCTACTTATACACCACAAATTGCAGAGATCCCATCACAAATGACTGTCATTAAGTACCAGAGGAGAGAATATTCTTTTTTATTTCAATTTAGGAAAGAGTCGAAAAAGGAGTCATCTTTAGGTTCTTCCTTGGCCATGGCAGACATATTATTCTCTTCCTGCTGGTGCATCTGATTGAAGGAGTTCCCATAAGCCGAAAATGCAAAATTATTCACATCCTGCAGCACCTGAAGTGTATAAGGTGTTTGGTTTTGCATACTTTGTAGCCTGTTGTTGGGGTTGGGAAAGTTCATCCCGTTTGAAGGGCCACTTATAACGGAAGGTCTTATAGCCGTTGAAGGAGGGGCATTTTGAAACGGTGTTCTGTTCATGTTGTAACCTCCACTTCCTCTAGCGGCAGGCACATCATGATCGTGTTTCCCTTCGTATGTTGTGATAACTGCTCTTAAGTCGTGGGATGATCGCTCCACATGCTTTCTGACCTGACAGCCGTTGAATGTACACTTGTAGTAGCTCCTGTAAGTATATTGCGTAAAATAGATGAGATTTAATCATTTATAAGCTATAAGCTAGTTTGTCAACTAGTTTTGCCAAATATAGCCTAGCTCGAAAATCACTTTTAAGCTATAAGCTAGCTTATCAACTAGTTTTACAAAACATAGCCCTAGATTGCACACCCAAAAAGAAAAAGGAAAAAAAAAGAAAGAAAAAAAGAAAAATAATAAAATGATATACCTAGGATTTGGGTTGCCCTTGACCACTTTCTGTCCATACTTCCTCCACCTGTAGCCATCATCGAGAATGTCTATGTCGCTTGTTGTCTGAACCACGATTCTGGGCTCCCGGACAGTCCTACTTCCGGAAGCCAATAACCCTTCATTCTCGATATTTTCCCCTTTCCTAAAACAATTAATTATGATAGTTGAAAGACATTAACTCAGATTAGTCTGTTGATTAATTCGAAAAGTCCTCCTCACCATCTCTTGACCTTGGGTTCGTTCTCGTGATCGTGCCTTGAGTTGCTCATTGATGAGCCCTGTTCGAAATCATCGTCCCCAAATGATGTTGAGGAATTATCCGGTGTGGTGACAGAGTCTGCCTGTTGCCCGTTTTCCACCAGTGGGTTCGAATCATTGTAGTTTGGATTGTTCTGATAAGAAGTACTGGAAGATGACCTCCGGCTCGATTGGGGCTTGGGATGATTGTGGCTCCCTTTGTACACAATCTCGGTTATGTGCCCATCCAAGTTGCGTTCGACTTTTTTCTTTGTGGGGCAGTTTGGGAAAGTGCATTTGTAATAGCTACGTGGATTTTCGCTCCCTTTGACTTGCTTCTGTCCGTATTTTCTCCAGTTGTAGCCGTCATCTGTTTTTCTCTGCTCTTTGATGTAGTGTGATGGGGCTGAATTGTTATTATACTTATTATTATTATTACTGTTATTGTAATTATTATTATTACTATTATTATTATTATTACTATTATTATTATTATTAATATTATTATCTCGAGAGCCGGTATGTGATGTAGAGAAACTTTGTGCTGGACTCTGTTCAAACTTTGACCCGGGCTTCACAGTCGACAGCTCGACTTGGGTCGTACTGAACGGGTTGAATGTCCTGCCTTCCTGTTTCTGACCTAAGGGGTTCTGTTGCAACAGTGTAGGATAAGAAAGAAAGAAATGCAGTAAAAATAATTTATGAGGCTTGCATAACTAACTTTAGAGCATATATATCTGCAGAAGAAATCAAATTACACATGATTTTCTTACAATATTCGTTTCTATTATTTTTTTATTATAATTTTTTTTTTAAATTTTCAAAACTACACATACATGACGAGGTCGATAGATAGAAACAAATAAGCTTCAGTAATTATTCATTTTATTTTTTTAATTTGGATTATGGTATGTTATAACTCAATTAGTTTTTATAATTAGCCCCTAATTGTGTGTCATGCATGGTTTCTTACAAAGTAGAGAGATTTTTAACAGCTAACAAACCGTACGTTGACTGGAGGTGCAAAATAAAACACCAAGAAATGATTGTGAAATACAGGTCATAGCTCATAAGTGAGACTTGACTTTATTCCGAAAGTCAACTCGTATGAACTAAATGAGATTCAGACAAACAAACAACTTGTTCAAATATTTGAGCACAACTAATGTAATAGATATACACACCATTAAAGACGGGAACATGGAGGACGAGGAGTTGGAATTAGGCCGTGTTTGGGATGATTGAAAGGAGAAATCGGAAAACTTCTTCCTCTCCTCCTCATCCGACAGCTCGACAAATGTACACGTCGTTAGTGATGGAAAAACCTAAACACCAACAATATTAATTGATAAAAATATAGAACGACAGTGAAATGATTGTTGATCATTAAGACACGAAGATGAACTCACATCAGACGAGGAAAAAAGAACGGGAGAATCGAGGAGAAGATAAGGGCTCAAGGTGGGAGGAGGAATCGAAAGGTACGATGAAGGAGAAACAGGAGCCGGCGAAAAGGATTTGTACTTTGGGATTTCCATGTTTTTGTTTTGGGTGTTGCCACCTGATGAAGAAGCCATGGTTTTTTTTTTTTTTTGTGTGTAATAATATGTATGATTTTGAATGAATAAAAAAGAATGGTTTTGGCCTGGCCTGGTTTTTAATTTGAGAGTCTCAGGGATGTAAAAGGGAAAAATATACAATAAAAAAACCAAATATATAAGATGATGAAGAGTTTGAGAAATGGAGGAACTCAGACAGTTTAATTAGAAATGGAGGAACTTCTGAGAAGGCAACAAAGGAGCTTTGACCGTGGAAATTAGATTTCAGTGGTCAGATATTGTGTGTTTGACTGGCTCCTGCCCTGGCGGCTACTTTTCAATCTCCATAAATATGATTAAAATCATCATGATGTTTGAATTAACTTATGATGATGAATTACAGTAAAATTAAGTTATCGATATGTTGATGAGGATAACTGGATTAAATATTGATGATATTATGAGAACTCTATTTAGAGTTCTTCACAAACTATATATGGTACGTACTCGAATCAAACACAAATGGTTGGTGTGGTCTTTTGTGGTAATAGAGTTTTTTAAATACAAGACCGTAAAATAGACATGGCCACGGGTCGAACCGGACCGCCAAACCCCGAACCGGACCCAGGCCAGAAAAGCCGGTTTTCAAACCGGAACCGGAACCGGACATCTAGAGGGCCGGTCCCGGGCCTCTTCGGTCAAAAAAAAAAAACCCGGCGGGCCGGGCACCGGGAGTTCTCATCCCTCGTCTTCTGATCCAGACCACTGGAATATTGTATCCGCGGGCGGGGGGTCCGGTCCGGGTTCCGGGTTTTTGAGCCAACGAGGAAGAAGAAGAATATGTGGGGCCCGGCCCGGAACCGACTCGACCCACCGGGTTTAAGACCCGGCGGTTAAGGGCCGGTTCAGTGAACCGGCCCTTAGTTACAAGCGGGTCGGGCCAGGTTTCGACCCGGCCCGGCAAATGGACACGTCTACCGTAAAATGGATAAACTATCAAATCAGGACTTGAAAGAATTTTTTTTTTCAATTTGGAACTTAAATGTGAAAGATTTCTTTTTTTAATTTGGGACTTAAATGTTATAAAACTATCAAATTAAATCTTAAATTAACAAAACTCATAACATCATTAAATTGAGAGTTAAAAAAAAGACAAGATTGGTTGTTGAGCTAGTTAGCTTATGCACGTGCTGCTGCCATGCATTATGGAGATATTTGAAGACACTTATCATTTTTATGTTTTCTTTTATCTTTCTTTTATTGTTGTTGTTGCTTTTATTAAAAGAAGCGCGTTAGCGTTTCTTTCTTTGTTTTTGTTACTAGACTTATCTGCTACGTGTCAAGCAGCTATTGGTTAAGTTTTTTTTTTTTTTTTTTGTTTTCACATGCACATATTACTCTCTCTCTCTCTCTCACGAGACATGTGTGAATTTGGTCAGATATTTTCCCAGAGCTCAGAGCTCCATTAATGGTGAAAAATATGTTCTAAGGAATTTCTTCCTTCATTTACATAATTTTACTTAAATCTACATAGTATCAGAGCGGGTTAGTTAATCGAGCATGGCGAGAAACAAAGATGATTCAGGAAGAGAGATTGTGCAGAGCTACTCGAGAGACACAGATCCACTGTCGCTTCATGGATCCGACCACCCAGGGCTGATCTTGGTCACAAATCGACTCACCGGTAATAATTATTTGCACTGGAGCAGAGCTATGAGACTTGCGCTGGGGGCGAAATCGAATCTTGGCTTCATAAATGGAGCAATGGTGATACCTGAACCAAACACTGAAGAGTTCGACCAATATGAGAAGGTAGATTTTATGGTAATCTCTTGGCTGCTTAATTCCATTTCTAAAGAAATCGTTGAGGCTTTTACATACGTGAAAAGTGCTAGACAACTGGGATGAGTTGGCTGAAAGATTTGGTGAGAGTAATGGTCCTCTTAGGTACCAACTGCAGAAAGGATAGCCAATTTTGCACAGGGTTCACTCACGGTCACTGCTTATTATACCAAGTTGAAATGTCTATGGGATGAATACTCATGTCTTATCTCACTGCCTGAATGTGCTTGTGGAGCTGGAAAGGCATTTTCTGAAAATGATATGGAAATCAAGCTAATGCAATTCCTCATGGGCCTAAATGAGTTCTTTGAACCAGTGAAAAATCAAATTCTGCTTATGGAACCTTTGCCAACTGTTAACAAGGCATACTCCATGATCTTGAAGATAGAGAAACAGAAGAATGTTACTATAGGAATGTCTAATCCACTGGAAACCTCAGCTATGATGATTAAAGGAAACTTTGGCAGAGGAAACTTTGGGAGAGGGGCAGGTTTTGGCCGAGGGTATGGCAGGAGTTCTCAAAACCAAACCTATAACATGGGAAGAGGCAGAGGTTCCCAAAGGCTGTCTAAGGAAGAAAGGGCAAAGTTATTTTGTACTCATTGTGGATTCAATGGACATGAGATTCAAGGGTGTTTCAAAATCAATGGCTATCCAGAATGGTACAAAGAGCTTAAGGAGCAAAGGCAGAATCAAAATGTTAATATGGCTGAAGGAGATGATTCTTCCAAGGGAGATTCTGAAGTCAAGTCTCAACACAGTGATAGTATATCTGATATAAGTGCACTAATTCAGAAGGAGGTTGCAAGATATATTTCTGGACAACAAGAAGCAGAAACACATACTTTCTCATACCTGGTGGAATGTTCTATAGATAAAAAAGACTATGCATTCTCCTTATTTGACAAACTAAGTAGAAGGAGTTGGATAATAGACACTGGGGCCAGCAAACACATTTGCTCAAACATGGAGATGGTGAGGAAAAGTTATGAAATCACTGCTCCTATAGTAGTCAACCTACCTGATGGAGCAAAGGTTGAAGTCTCAAAAGTAGGAGAGGTTTACTTGAATGATAAAATTCTGCTTAAGGATGTGCTGATTATACCTGAGTTCAAATACAATTTGCTATCTGTGGGGCAATTGGTGGAAAACAGTGAGTTGTATTTCAATTTCAACAAAGAAAGATGTGAATTGAGGGCTTTGCAAACTGATTTGGTATTTGCTGTGGGAAAGATAATAGGAGGATTGTATGTCCTTGAAGGAGAGGATTTATTTGCAAATGTAGCAAAATGTGGAAAGTCTGAAGGAACTGAACTTGAACTTTGGCACATGAGGCTTGGACACAGCTCTTCCACTTGCCTGAAACACTTGCCTTTTCTGAAAGGAAAATGTGTTGAACAAGAGCTAGATGTATGTGACATATGCCACAAATCCAAACAATGCAGGCTATCTTTCCCTCTCAGCCATATTCAAAGCAAAGCTTCTTTTGAGTTGATCCATGTGGATGTATGGGGCCCTTATCATGAAGAGTCAGTCACTAACACTTCATACATGCTAACAATTGTTGATGATTATACAAGGACTACCTGGACTTTTCAGACTGAAACATATGAGCATTTGAAACATTTCTTCAAGATGGTGGAGACACAGTTTGATAAGAAGGTGAAGTCTATGAGGAGTGACAATGGGACAGAGTTCATAAATAAGGAAGTAAATGCATTGCTTAAAGACAGTGAAATACTGCATCAAAGAACTTGTCCCTACACAACCCAACAAAATGGGGTGGTGGAGAGGAAACATAGGTCAATCCTGGAAGTGGCAAGAGCTTTATCATTCCAAGCAAAGCTGAAGAAAAATCTTTGGCCCTACAGTTTGCTAGCAGCTGTTCAGATTATCAACACTCTACCATCTGAAAAGCTTGCATGGAAGAGTCCTTATGAATTTCTACATGGAAGGTTGCCTGCTTATAACATGTTCAAAGTATTTGGTTGCTTATGCTATGCTAAGGTGACTGAACCACACAAAAGAAAGTTTGATGAAAGAGCTGCCCCTTGTGCATTCTTGGGTTACATCTCAGGTATCAAAGGGTATAGAGTGTATAATTTGACAACTCATGAAGTGTTCATGTCCAGAGATGTATCCTTTTATGAGATGAGATTCCCTTTCACTGAAAATTCAAAGGGAACAGCAGCAAATCACAATGATGTACCACTTCCAGTTGTTGCTGATGATAGGAAAGAAATCTTGGAGGATGCAACATAGAATGTTGAGTCCCAACATAATACACACACAAGGGTAAGTACAAGGGAGAAGAAAGCACCTGTTTGGATGACTGATTATGTGGTGAATACTCTGAACATCATGGATACACATGAAGAACTTGGGGTTTTTGTTGCAGAAATAGACAAAACACTTACAAAACTTTTATACTATGAGCAAGCCATCAAGGACAAAAGATGGATTGATGCTATGCAGAGAGAGATAGAGGCTCTTGAAGTGAATGACACCTGGATTCTCACACAACTGCCAGCTGGGAAGAGGGCCATTGGCTCAAAATGGGTGTACAAGATAAAAAGGAATCCCAATGGAAGTGTAGACAAGTTTAAGGCTCGATTGGTAGCAAATGGCTATTTACAAAAGGAAGGTATAGATTTCAATGACAGCTTCTCTCCAGTTGCTAAAATGGTGTCTGTCAGATTGATTATTGCTTTGGCTACACAACACCAATGGGAACTTCATCACATTGACATCAACAATGCTTTTCTCCATGGATTTCTTGATGAAGAGGTCTTTATGCTACCACCTAAGGGATTTACAAAGGCAAAGAAAGGACAAGTCTGTCGATTGAAAAGGAGCCTCTATGGTTTGAAGCAAGCTTCAAGACAATAGAATATAGAGTTTTTAGATAAATTGATTAGCTATGGTTATATGCAATCTCCTCATGATCACTGCATGTTTTTCAAAAGAACACATCAGCAGATGTTGATACTCTTCATTTATGTGGATGATGTCCTCATCACAGGTACATCTTGCTCCCATATTCAACAAATTTATTTGAATGATTTGTTCACAATTAAAGACCTTGGACATGCTAAATACTTCTTGGGATTCTAGATCTTCAGAACAGAAGAAGGAACTTACTTAAGTCAAAGAAAATATGTACTAGATATTGTGCATGACTTGAAGTTGGAAACTAC